CTAGATATTCATGTTGTCTCTTTTACTTTCAGGATTGTTAAAGTAGTTAGTTAGTTTAAGTATACTTGTATTAGGTAACCCAAAAACAAAAAACCTGCAGCCAATGGAGAACAGGACAAAACACAATGCGGTGGATTGGGGTGAAGTCGATCCTTTGGGCAGCGAAGGAGAGCCAGAAGGAGCAGGAGTGGACCAAACCGAAGTCGCTGCCCTCCGGACTCAGTTAGAGGCCCTGAAACTGGCCTGCCAACGGCCTCTCATAATCTCGGAACAGACAAAACGGATACACCAGTTTAGCGGTAGGGGCACTGCCGATGGACCAACAGCTGAAGAGTTTGCAAGGGAGGTCTGGGAGCTCAGGCCTTATTCTGCTCAGGAAAAGGTGGCAGTCATTATGAGCAATGTCAGTTGCCCTGCCAGGAAAGAGCTCGATTTGCAGACCTCAAGGACAAAGAGCGACCCGGAAGCCTTGTTGGAAACCCTCCTTGAGGCGTTTGCTCAGACTATGCCAGTGCGAGAAGCTGAGGTGGTCTTCCTGAGATCACGTCAACAGATAGCAGAGTCCCTTCGAGACTTCTCACACCGGCTCTTCTGCGAACACTCAGTGGCGGTAAGCCAACAAAGGCGGGAGAGAGTTGAGTGCTTCAGCGAGGCAAGGCTGAGGGACCAATTCGTCCACGGGCTGAACGACTCTGCACTACGTAGGGAACTGCTGAGACTGGTGGAGGAGGAACCAGCAATAACATTCATTGCAGTTAGAAACCAGGCCCTCAAATGGGAAAGCCAGGACCGAGGAAACTCCCAACTACAAAACCAGTGGTGCGAACTGGTAAGTTCCCAATTGAACAGGTTCGGGGAGTTATTAGAGGCTTTACAGCACACTCAACAAGCAAATGGGCAGAGCAGCCCATATCTCGACCAGCCTCTCCCCCAAACACAGGCAAGTCACCAAGTTCAGTGGGCAGTTAACCGCCCCACAGCACCTACAGGACTGATTTGGGCGCAAACAAGTAGGGGATTCTTCCCATATGCTGAGGATGGAGCACCAGTCTGCATCAACTGTTGGAAGTCTGGACATGTGGCGAATCAATGTCTGGAATCGTCACAACCTGAAACTCTGATTCACTCAAGTGCTATAGGTTGTTCTGTCAATGGTCTATTGCCCCCTGTTTCGGAAAATCCACCCACAATACCTAAAAGGCAGAAGTTAGGAAAATGGTGTAATTTTCACAACAGCCGCTCACACCATTTGTATGAATGCAGATCACAGCCAATCCACACAATTGCGGCCCTTTTTCCTGGATACACGAACAACCCATCTTCATCTGGATGCAATCCGCAGGTTGAAGAGGAAGTGCTAATCAATAGACGTAGGGCTAAATGTCTATTAGACTCTGGCTGCTCTTTTGATGCCATTGTCAGTAGATCTTTTGTAAGACCTGAAGACATTATGGATGTATCAGTGACCCTTCAATCTCTTGACTTAGACATCCCACCCAAAACAGTACCTCTCGCTAAAGTGCATGTCAAGTCCCGTTTTGTCCATGGTACTATTACAGCTGCTGTTTTAGAATCCTCATTGTATGACATTGTACTTGGATCAAGATTTATAAAGCTGGAAATTCCCCAAAACTCCACTATTAAGCTACCTTCAGTGCATCAAACCGCATCCTCTCGACAAGGAGTAAGAGACACCCAAGACGTTTTTAAATCCAAGCACACTATAAAAGACATGACGCCATCACATCTGCCTATTAATGTTAGCTCTCGATGTAGAGAGGCCCCGCAGGTTGCTAGAGAAACAGTCAAGTCTCACCCCTCCGAATTAGTTAGCAGGAGCAAACTTGCCATTTCACCACAAGTCAACCAAGTAGAACAGCGGGCCAATAAACAGGATAGGCACATTCACATCCGTGGTGCAAGTCACCTTACCCAACCAGACTCTACATCCAGAGACAGAAAGTTTGAGGCTTGTCAGTCATGCAAGGCCCGGATTGATAAGTTCCGCAGGCCATGTTCATTCAGGAGAAACAAACGGTGTTACCAGCAACAGAGATTTTTTGGTTCACCCCTAACTACCGCACTACCATCAGGTTCCCAAACATCTATGAAAGATTTTAGTGTCCTTGATTACCAGATGGAAAGCCCACAGCACCAGCTACATTCTTCATACAAAGAGAAACCTGATAGGCCACCCTGTAGAATCCAAGGTTCAAGTACACTACAGGCCGGAAACATATATGGTGTCCAAGGAAATGGCTGTTCAGAGAAGAAACAGTTGTTTCTGTTTCCAGAAACGTACTAGGCTAAACGCCCCGAGACGGGACGTTTCAAGCTAGGGGCTCTGTAGTGGGGAGGGCCTAATATACGGGTCGGCTGAACTTGACCAAGCACCGGTCAGCAAGGTCGGCTGAACTTGACCAAGCACCGGTCAGCAAAGGCTCAAGTTGACCTCTGCCCCGGTAGCTGGGATTTGAATTCCTTTTCCTGCTGGCATCCGCGCACCTACTCCAATACCACCTTGTTTGATCCTGCTGTGTTCTCCCTGAGTTCATTGTTTTGGCTAAGGCTGCAGGTAAACACATTTTTACTGTTTCTTGTATATCATATATTCTTGTTTATTTTTTATATAGCATATTGCTACCTAGGTTTTGTCCGACTACCTTAGTTATGTATTCTATAATTCTTTACATACAGTGTATAGATTTGTTCTATTTAATTGTTATAGTTTTTGTAAGGAAAGGGAGCTCTTCAATGTATGTTAGTTTTATGTAGAACTAGTTGATTTATTTTTTGAAAATTACTTTGTCATTTATTTTCATGTTAAGTGGTGTTCCATATCTCTCTTGTGTTTATAAAAGAGATGATTGGTTCACACTATAAGATTTTCTTTTTTGTTTTTTGCTAGATCTAGTATTTATACCTGATGTGTTTACAAATTGGTCTGTTCATTTAGGCCGTATAATTATGTTTATTTTATGCTCACTAGTAATTATGTTGTATGTTTGCCTTTGGCAGGTTTTTTTTGTGTACATTAAATTTGAAATAAGCCTCCTGACTTGCCTTGTCATTTTGGTTGTTGTGATTCTGTGTGGAACCCACCACATATATAAGGCCGCTTCATTTGTTTTGCTCTCGGCGAGGATCGTACCAGCACGCACAGTCTGTCTCCAGGCTGTTCGGTCTTGACTTATTCCTCCCAAAAAGAAGATGATTACGTCCTACGCGTCATACATTTAGTCATGCATATTAACCAATGACTTAAATTCTGCTAAGTCACTGGTTTTCCTGGCTAGCTCAGGCAACCCATTCCATGCTCTAATAGCACTAGGGAAGAAGGAGTATTTGTACACATTTGTCCTAGCATATGGAATGAGGAATGTGCCTTTATCTTTGTGTCTTTCAGAGTATTTTATTAAATTTTGTTTTTGTATTTGAAGATTATGGTTCAGTGTTTTATGTATAATTGCTACTTTACTTTTGAGTCTTCTGTCCTGAAGGCTTTCTAAATTTAGTGATTTTACTATAGGTGTTACTCTAGTCAAATGTGAATATTCGTTTGTTATGAATCTCACTGCTCTATTTTGTGTCTGTTTCAGTTTCTTAATGTTTTCTTGAGTTGAGGGGTCCCAAACAGAGGATGCATATTCTATTATTGGCCTAACCAAGGTTAAATAACATTTTAGTTTTATGTTCTTGTTTGATTTATAAAAATTTCTTTTAATAAATCCTAATGCTTTGTTTGATTTTTTTTATAGTTTCATCAATATGTGGATTCCATGACAGTTTTTCATTTATTATAACACCTAGGTATTTTGCGTTTTTAGTCTGTGTTACTGGTTTGCCATGAATAAGATAAGTGGAATTAATTTGTTTTAGTTTTTTGTTACTCTTAACAACTGACATTTTTCTGGGTGGAAAGACATGCTCCAATTTGATTCCCATTTCTGTAATTCATCTAATTCTCTTTGTAAAATATTTGTGTCTAGTGTTGTTTTGACTGTTCTATATATTATGCAATCGTCTGCAAATAATCTGACTTTTGTTCCTGAAGTAATGCAATTTGGTAAATCATTTATGTAAATTAAAAATAGTAGTGGACCCAAGACTGTTCCTTGAGGTACACCTGAGTTTACTGTTATCGGTGTTGATGGAGAATGGCCTAGTGGTGGAATTGTCAAACTTTACAGTGCACTGCATATTTTCGTGAAAAGCTGACACTAGTTTCCGTAGCTTGTTAGAACAGCCAATTTTTTTCTAGTGCGCTCAAACATTAGACCTTCTGATAACAAGGTCAAAAGCCTTGGTCAAATCAATAAATGCTCTTCTCCTGTAGCTGCCGCAGAGAGAAAATCATATCTGTTGTACATCTACCTGCCCTAAAGCCACACAGCGACTCTGGATCAACACGTTCCGCCAAAATCCGCATACACCTTTCCAACTATGCTAAGCAGTTTGGGGCAGAGAAATCTCGTCAGCCTAGTAAGACAATTCATTTAGTAGAGGGGTACTTGACTTCACCCCACTGGATCTTCCATATGCAAGGACAAATTCATAAAGTGCTCCTTCCCTTATGCTGTTAGAGCATGGAACGGGCTGTCTGAAAATTGATAACCGTTAAATTCTCTTAACTGCACTGCTATATTAACACATGGACGTAACTATCTTCTCTTCGAAGGAATTTCTTTAATTTACCAAGATAAATTGAAGTACCCGGTAGTTGAAAAATAATTAAATTACTGATTTACTCTTCACTGTGCAAGAATGAACGTTTTCAAGAATTAAGGTGTAGACGTGGATCTCACTTAATAAGCAGCCAGACTGGATAGCTGTGAGATACATAAAGGCTAAATAAAACTTAGAAGCGAGTTATTCATAAATGGTCAATTTACTATCATTGACTTGTAATTTTAAGTACTCCCCAACCTTATTGTGGTTCAGCTTATCCATACTTTGATAAACTCAAGAAACAAATGTCATAAAGAAATAATAGAATTTATTTCCTGTAAGTTGGGAACACATGTCAGCAAACAAATACAAACAATTAAAAATGCTTGAAATAAATACATTCGTATTTCATCACTGAAACAAATAGATCTTGCAAATAAAATAGCAATCATTCAACTAATGTCATTAATATGGTCGAGAGAAAACTACTAATGTAATAAACATACTAGTATGTGGCATTTCAAACGCAGCGTCTGTTTTATAGTGGTCTTTTTTTTTGCACTTTCCAGGGTAAACACATTTGGCTAGCGGAGAGTCATGATGCAAAAAGCAAATTTAGGTTTTCAACTATGTCAAAGATTAAATAACAAACAGATCCAACTAAATTTTGTCTTCAATACCAATTCAATATGAATCAAAGCAATTTTTTTTTGTGTGGTTAGAAATGTCTTCATCTTATCTCAAAACACAATATCAACATGGTCAATTAACTCAGCATACAAGTTTGAATAATTACCATCAAAAAAAAAAAAAGTAAAGAATCTATTTTGTGTCACCAACAGATATGCTTGGAGAGTTTAGCATTACTAGCTTCCAAGATTCATGTACATGAGATTGAAATGCCCATTTCTGAAGTGACTATTTTACAGCTCTTCTCTTGTCTCATTGTTGATCTCTTTATCTATTTCATCATTGTTTACAGATTCAGTCTCTGGCCCATCTGCAATAAAGAGTAGTGTTGGTGGCATGAATTAAAACCATGACTTTTAATTGCAAATCAATTTTCAAATGCATAAACAACAAATAGTAGTAAGTCCATAAAGTAGATTTGGCACATAATATACAAAAAAAATATGAACAAATAAAATTAAAGTTTACTCTCAATGTTCATACATCATTGCATTTTTTCTTCACACTATTATCTAATTACAAACAACACATTTTCACACACACACATATATATTATATATTTATATATTATTATATTGACTAGTCTGTCGTGTTAACATCTTAAAAACCGTCAAAAATTAGATCTACGTGCCTTTGCTAATTCTGGAAGATAACCCTTTTTCCTCGTTTTCTTAAATAAAATATACAAACTGATTTTTCTTACAAACTTGACTTAATAGGCATATACAAGTATATATAGTATATACAGGGACTATGGATAATCTAAGGTGATTAGAGGCACGGAAGAGAAATGATTGTTCTTTGAATTTTCTTAAAGAGTTTTGGTCTTAGTAAAAAAAAATGTAATAAATATCATATAATTACATGTGTTTTTTTTTTTTAGATATACTAATAACTACACATTTTTTTTAAAGAAGATTTAACATGTTGTTTTGTGTTATTTATGTTACTATCATTATCTCTCTGTCTACTCAGTACATGTAAAAAAAAAAAAAATGTCATTCTTTATATTAACAATTACTACTATAAAAAGTCACTAATGAACTGTCAAAAGCAGGAAGAGTGCCTTAATAATTTCTCCCACAAAACATCAAAATCTGCCCTTAGACCAGCATTGTTTAACAAAATTCAGAACCAGCAGTAGCCACCTAAAGTTTGTGTTATTTTGTTTCACATAGACCTAATTTCTTTTTGTTTTTCCAAAGCATAAAAAATGTTGGCTGCTGAGTGCTAGTAGATGGATAAATAGTTGATCAAACTAGACAATCGATGTAAAAAAAAAAACATGTTGGTATGGCCATTCAAATTTTAAATTGTATGTTTCATACATTTATGTCAAAAATATCAATTTTCATTATTTTACATCAAAAAGAAAGTAAGCATAATGTATTCACATATATACATTTTATCAGAAAAGAAGAAAATCAAATAAATAAGTTCTAATTTTCAAATAATATGAATATTGAGCATTTGAGAAAACTAAAAGACTGCAAGTATTGGTAAATTATTACAGTTAGAAAAAAATGTGACAGAAAGTGAAAAGAAATATCTTTCTAAAATTGTATAAATACTTTAATGAAACTTCTTTTGATTAGAGGTAGCTAAAAAGTCACACACCATTTTCACTTAAAAAAAACATCATTTTGAATTTGTGGCAAACCAAATAACATGAATGATCATAAGTAAAGACAATGTAATTAACACTGCGTGGTTAGAGGAGGCCACCCGACAACTTATTCCATAGAAAGCCATGATCAGGAAGTGACCAGTAATACTGGGAGTGTCCTTGAACTTGGACAAGTCTAGATCTTTTTCTTTAGAAACTTTTTTCTTATTCTGTTTTATCACAGAGGGTTTCTTGTCAATTTTTGGGATGGTTTCTGAAAGATGAAATCAAGAGAGCTACCAATGCTGATAAAAGAGTGTAAACCAAAGACAGCTAAAACACCAAACAATAAATCAACCTTCACTGATCATGATAAAAACAATGTAAAAAAAAATATATACAAATTTTTTTTAGACCACTGAGAAAGTTAGATTGATTATTTATTTGGAAGAAACAAATACAAAAAGAATTTGATTTTCCAAGTAAAAATAAAATAACTTATTCCTAGAAACAAAATGTATATTTATGTAATATAAATAGTGGTGCTCAAATCTTTGTAAGGTCTTTTACTTCAGAGCCAGCTATGACACTCAATTTTGAACAATTTAATAGACCAGTATTTTAAACTTAAACAAAACAATTATTTCTGACCTATTATACGATTGTTTCAAATAGGGTTGTAGAAAAAAGAGCAATACATTTGAAATCCAGCAACAAAAAGTAAAATAAATGAAACACAAGAAAGAAAAGCCAGAATCAAGACTAGAATAGCAGAATGCTCAAGACCAAAAGAATGAAATGTTTAGAAAGAAGAAAAAATTAAAACTATAATTATTTATGTATTGATGCAGTCATAAGATAACTTATAGATTATGTGTAAACTTAAGGGGCCACAGCCAAACTTGTATCTGGTAAAAGAGATTTGAGAGAAAAAAAACTATTTACCTTTAATACATACACCATCTTTTAGTTGATAACCAGACTCACACTGACATTCATAGATACCAGGCTTATTACGACATAGTAAATGTTCTCCTTGGCACAAACTTGAATCTTCTTCACACTCATTAGTATCTGTACATTATGAATAAAAGCAGTTTCATGTTACTGTATTTGTACTAATAAGTTTTTTAGACATAGTTATTTGATTAGCAACAGCGATGGGGGTAGACAGATTCCCATCAGTACAGATTAAATGTTTGAACACTCTTGATTGTCTCATTTCATTGTTGGACTTTCGCCTGTGTTCAGTTGGTTGGTTGGAATTAGTTGTTACCTTCTCCTGAACATAATCAACAATCTACTCAAGACACAGCGAAGAGGTGTCCAACAATATACATATTTAAACAATTAAAAACATAAACTTTATCCATCAGGAAAATTCAAAACCAGAATGTAATCTAAAGCATTTTACGGCTTAAAAAAAATATTTTGATTTGTTTAATATTTGAAACCACTAAAGTTGCAACCCAATAAGATTTTAATAAAATTTTTAAAACATTTGTTTTTATATAACCCATTAATATTGAGCACTCATGAGTTCACAATTAAACACAATTTTAATAACCAAGTTTTGACCCAGAATTGTTAGGTGAACTCTTTAATTACTAAATTTAAAATTATATGTATTTTATAATACTTACATTACTTTGTGTGTATTTCTCAGAAAAAAAAACAACTAATTATTTCAGAAAGTATACAATATGACTTCAAGAAACATTTTTAGTGACTGACCTTGACATATATTGGTATCATGGTTCATGGTGTAGCCACTACTGCATTCCTGACACTTGTCAGGACCAGCTCCAGTGCAAGACACACAAGCATCATCACATGCTAATAAAGAGAAAGAAAAAAATCAGTGACCAGAAAAAAAACAACAGCACACGATTGGTGGTGAACTTTCAGTGTGCAAGCATATATAGGACAAAGTAGTACAGTGAATATATATAGTACTTCACTACATTAACAAATACATATATTTAATACACTGATTTGTAATAGGAAACAAATTTTCAAAATTTTTTTGGTCTTTATACTCTAACTGAACAACCTCTCCAAAACAGAAGCTTGAAGTTGAAATGCTAAGCCTATTGCTGATATTGTATCAAATTTTCAAATCGAGAACATTTATATAAGTTAGTGCTAATTTTTTTTTTCATTAAAATTAACAAATTTCTACTGGGTGTAAAAAAATATTTAAATAATTGTAAAATCAAATTTATAAACTAATAATATAAAATAATAAAATAAATGTAATGATTTTAAAAAAAGTGCCAGTAAACCTATCAGTGTCACAGCATTGTTTGAGAATCACTGTGACATAAGGTGAAATGTAGTCACATAAAACATGCATGTTCATTTAACGTGTAAGTCTGTCTGAATCTGACCATGTGGTTATAGTTAGTTGTTACTTGGTCCTCAGAGAGGAAGGAGATAAGATATTGTATTAACAGTGTCTTTGTGAAATAATTCTTATTCTGGACTCATGATTTGTGAAGTATGATTTGTTCTGGAACTTATATTCAATTGTTCATTGCGTCTTTATGGTTGGATTGCCTTCGTATTGCTTTATATCAATAAATATATGTTGTCTGCAGAGAAGAGCGTTGACTGGTAAATAATGTTAATATTTGTCATCCTAAGTAAGACAAGCCATGCGCACAAGAATCCACACCCAATAATTTGACCAGCAATAAAGGTGCTACAATCTGGTAAATAAGTCAATTAAATCAATTTAAAAAGTATTGCTAAATAAGTACTTATGAAACTTACAAAAACAAGTATATGAGCCTTGGGTGTTAGTACAGAACTGGTTTTCTTCACATGGATCAGTTAAACATTCATTCACATCTAAATGATGGAACAATAAAAAAAAAAATAAAAAAAAAAAAAAAAAGCCAACTTTGTTGCAAAAAGTATACAGAAATATTGCAATATGTTTTTCTTTTCACTTGATGTTTTAAAAAGGTAAAGGCTAAAATATTTCGATATTTAGTAGAGACTTAGATAGAAGTTGGCAAACTACACAAACACCAATGTCAGCTTGCCCTAAACTAAGACAGTCGATGAACACAAATTGTGTAAAATGCTTTTTTTTCCAGATTCGTTGATTTTTTTTAATCAAATAATCAGTTTTCACATTTTTGGTTTATTCTTTTTTTTTTTTCAAACTAAGAAATTAGACTGAAATATATGGATGTTTAATAAAAAATTACACTTATTTTATAATACAAGAAATGTTAAATACAAAATTAAAGCTACTTAAAAACTAATTGTAATTTTCCTATTTGGAGATATTCTTTTGTTGAAAACCCTGAGGTAAAAAAGAGAAATGTCACTAACCTATACACCCCTGTTCTTCATCAACCAGCCAACCCTCTTTGCATTCATCACATCCTTTGGGTCCACCTTCCCAACAAGTATTCTTACAGGCTATATGGCACACTGCAAATACACAAATGAAACAAAATTTCTGTTTGAAACACTTGAGTTTGGAGGAAATTTGCTTTGGCACATTCAATTT